ATTAGTGCAATCGAGCTACTCATGTGGGTCACCTCTGAAGCCAATCGCCAGTGAAGATCAAGTTGTCCCCTCCTAATGTCCATGAGCTGAGCCTGGGAGTGCCCCCTCTCCCTCTGACTCAAGAGGGGGCCTAAATGAGTAGCTAAGACTGGACACATCCTGCCCTGATCTGCCCCAGAGCAGGACTCTGGCTTTTAGAAGAAAGTGGAAACTGCTGAGAGCAAACAGCAAGGCCTCTCCCATGGCCACAGCATGTCCTCTCTCTGAACCTGCCCTTTCTTCCTGGTTATGTCTGTGGGAAGGGCTGGAGCCCACCAAACAGAAAACACAAGATGAACTCCCTTCAGTCTCCAGGCATCTTCTGTTCTGACACAGCCCAGCCATTCACCTGGGTAATCACACATACATGTACTCTGTTAGGTCAGTCAAGTTTATCAACAACCTGAACCACATAAAACCTTGAGATTGAGCAATCAGTCTCTCCTTGTTTAGCAAGCAACAGAAAAACTCCTGCAACAAGGCTGTAAAACCAAAGCAATCCTAGTGATTTATAGTCTTATGGCAGTGTCTAATCTGAGAGCTGATTTAGCTCTTTTAGCTATTTTCACATTAAGTCGTATGTTTGCTTTTCTGAAGGAAGACATTGTGTAGAGAGGTCAGTGTGAGTCTCTTCTCACACTGACAAGAGGAAATGGCATCAAGTTACACCAGGGGAGGTTTTGGTTAGACATTAGGAAAAACCTCTACACTAAGGGTTATCAAAGGCTAGAACAGGCTGCCCAGGGAGGTGGCTGAATCACCATCCTTGGATGCATTTGAAAGTCATCTAGATATGGTGCTCAGGGATGTGGTTTAGAAGTGGGCACAGTAGAGGTAGGTAACAGTTGGACTTTATGATCTTAAAGGTCTTTTCCAACCACAACAAGGTCATTCTATGCTCTTCTGCCTGGTCACACACTGAATGAAACCTGGTTTTTTGTTACTTATGCAGGTACCGCTATGAATAACCCCATCACCCTCTTTGCAGTACTGCCCTGCACCCTGCCTCATGTTTGCCTTGGTTCGTAAGTACTTCACAGAAGTGGAGGAGTCTTCACTGGTTTCTGTCACTTGCAGGAAGGGATCGCATCTGAAGTCACTGTAAGATAGTTTGGATTTTTTCCACTATATTGCTTCAGAGCAGATGGGATTTGAGTAGCCACAAAACAAGTTACAAGCTGCATCCCTCAGAGCTTGCGTAGGAGTCAGAGACCAGCAAGAGATGTGCTGTATGTTCCAGAGCATCTTCCCTCTCTCCCTCCCTTCCTCATATTTAGGGATCCTCTTCCCTCCCCACCCTTTCCTCCCTCCTTTCCTTAAACTGAACCAGAATATGGTTTTAATTAAAGCACACCTGAATGGTTCTACCTTCTCTGATTATCCAAGAGAGATGGGGAGTCGCTGCACACACATGGCCAATTCCACTCCATGACAATTCTCTACCTTGTAGCTACAAACAGATTGTCCTCTATAAGGTTTATTTTCAGGGTTTTAGGAAAAGGCAAGGATTTGTTGGAGCAGAGGCACCACACCTCCTATTCTTGGCTGGCAAATGACCTGACATCAAACACCTCCTTGAAGCGAAGGGCCTCTGCTGTACTGGCCCATCAGATCACACCTCGTGTCTGAAGCGCTGTGACAATATTCAGCATTCATGGATTGTCTGCATTTGATCTGCCTGATTTTGCACATCCTAATATAATCTATTCCTGCCCCCTGCACATCCTAATATAATGGACTAACAGACTTTTCCTTTCAACAGCTAAGTTAGGCCAGAAGCACACAAGGCCGGTGTTGCTATGGCACTCACAGAACATGCATGTGTTAATCCTCAGTATGAAATTAACAGGAAATAGATCTGGTGAACTGACATTTAGGAGCAGAGATTGCTTCAAGCTGCCACATGACACTCCCTTCCAAACACCCATCAATGCTCCCAGATCCCTCCAGCTCCAAGCGCTTCTGTTGAGGATGAAGCACAGTATTGCCAGTTCCAGCAGTGGCTTGCAATTTACTGCACCCCTGAAACTTTGGGGTTTCAGAGGACGGAGAAGTGGACACAGTAAAGCTTCAGACTTACCAGACACATTCACACCACCCTATATCCTCTTTAGTCATCCTGGCCACCCTTAGCAGGATCACACCAGCTGTGGGCCAAGAGCACGTGGGTTGTTGCATAGCTCTGCTAGTGAGCTGCAATTTGGCTGCACAACAGTGTTCTAGACAGGGATGCACTGCTTATTGCATTGCCACCTGTGTTCGGCAACCACCTGTCTGCCTTGAGGCTGTCTTTCCAGGCTAAAACTTTATCATGGTCTTGCCAGCAACCACCACCAGCATTTACCTAACAAACTAGTGAGGAACCAGGATAAGAAGTTAAAGGATTGAGGCTGTAAAATCCACTTCTGTCCTTGCCTCAGCCTTTGTCCTTCAGAAACAGTCCAGCAGAGACATTCCAGTTCACATATTTTTCCCTGGCAGTTTTCTCCCAGCGGGCCCATATAATTTTATCGTTGACAAAAACCAGGCTGTAATAACAGCTTGTCATCAGCAGGTGAAGCCTTTCACATGAATGTGTTATTCAGCCCCTGCCAGCTCACACTAGAGCAAAACACTTCTCTCCCCCTCCCCTGCAAGCTCTAAAAAGCTGTAATTACAGCACGTAAAAGATCCACAAGGAAACAAAACACAGTGTTGATAAGCACAGCCATTCTTTAGCTAGGATTTCAGCCTAAAGCCTAGCAAGCCTCAAAGTCTTCCCTTTTCTTTGTGTAATACAAAGGCTTCTCACTACAGCTAGGTGCTCAAAATTCATCAATATGCAGAGGAAAATACCCAGTTTCCCCCCTTGTGTTTCTCACTCTGCATCAACCACTGTTCATGCTGGTATGTGTCACTCAGCTCATCCCCTCTTTGGGTCTCGGACACCTCCCATTGCAGAATCTCAATTTTGGAAATGAAAGGGTTTTATGACCAGCAAGGAGCTCCCTACAGCAGCATATTCCTCTGCAGCATCACTCCCAGTGGGGCAGAGGCACAGTCAGCCTTCGAGCCACGAGCACCACTGCACAGAAGCATCATTTTAACATCAGGATCCCAATTCTTCTCCCTGGCATTGCTTTTCTAACAGAGAACAGCATCCTGGGTCTGCTCTAGGGCTCTGGACCAGCTGAAAACTCCCCTTTTCCTTCCAAGCGTACTGGCCAGGCTCACAGGGGGCTGTGCAGGACCCGCAGTGCTGTCGTGCAGCCACAAAGGATGTGCTGCAAGAGCTCACACCAGTTCTGAAACACTTCAACACCTTCCATCAAGGCAGAGGTGAAGGTCTCGTGTGGAGTCTGCTCTCAGTCTCCTGCTCCTCTCATCATGCTATAGATGGGGCCTGGATCTTGTATCATCGTGACCCAGGCTTTATTTTAGGGTAAAACATAATTCACTCCAGATACAGGGCAACACAGCAGAACCACCAAGCAGGTAACAGGTGCTGAAGTCACTGCAAGGCCACCAGTACTTCACTGTCTTTGTGTTCTGGCAAAGCAAAGCTGCTAAGGCAGCCCCGTGCCCAGTTCTCTCAGGAAAGCAGCCCAACTGGCAAGTCTCCAGGCCCAGCGAGACTCTCTCTTCTCTCCAGACATACATGACCCGCTCCAGCAACTCCAGAAACACTATCAGAAACCCAAAGATGAAACCATCCCTCAAAGCGAACCTAGGAGGTGAAGCCTGGAGCAGCCATGCCCATCACCACTATAATTATCCGTGCACTAAACAAGGAGCTCTCGGTGATGAAGCCCAAAGCACAGCATCATGGACTGAGTGTGAATTCACATGTAAAAATAAAAGCCTGCTGTGAAATCAGCTGCTCCTAAAGTATCTTGAAGTTATCTTTAGAAGGTTGGTCTAATGTCTTTGTTAGCTGCTTTAAAATAAATAATTAAGTGCTGAGACAGTAGTCTGGGAGCCTATTTAAAAAGTTATGATCATAAATATGTGACTAATCCGGGTTATGTATAGGCTTTCACATTTGTCAGCTTCCTGGCATGAAGCAGTGCAGCTAAAACTCAACTCTTCCACATCTAAGGTATGGGTGTCTGAATTGCCAGTGGCTGTAAAAGGCTGTGATCTGCAAGCTCAGTTTTATCCATTTAGAGGTATTGCACACAGTTAGCCCATCCTTCCCCACACAGTTAAAGAAAAACCACTACCTAGGATGTATGAGGGAAGTGGTCTCAGTTTTTTAAGCCAATTAAAATCAAGGAACACAACACAAGTGGTGCTTCTGCTTTGCCAAGAAGAGAAAAGGTTTATTTTTTCACCATCCCTGTAAGTTGGACAGTCCTCAGTAAAAAACCACTCCATCAGAACAGCCCCACGCAAAGGCTCATCGTGGAGAATCCAGTTTCTGTCTGACCGTGACAGCAGAGCATCCCACCACTCCTAGCAGAGAACATCCTCCTGTTTTTAATACCTATGTCTGAACACCCTTAAATGTGATCAAACTGCTTTCCCTCCTACAGGTCCCCTGCACACCAGGCTATGCTCATTTCTCCAGAAAGTGGACTGTATAAAGACTGAAAAAGGGCAAACCCTACACTTCCATTTTCACGGCCATCCAACACGCTGTAGAATTTAACCAAGCAAAGGCCATCAGGGCCTCCAAGGACACCGCAAGGAGGGGCCATTGGGCAGCAGTAAACAAAAAAATGCCAGGACATCAGCAGTACTGGTAGCTTCTGGAGCTTCTCATGCACCCAAGATACCTGGTACGCTTTACCTATATATATAATTGCACACATGTAAGTTCTGTACAGCAAAATAATATGTCATCACCCTCAACTTCTGACCCACCAGCGATGGCAACAGGAATACTCACGATTTATCTCTTCTGCACGCACGTCTCTGAGGGCTGGCTTGCCTTCGGTGAGGGGACAAGGACTTACCCCGTGATCTGTCTTTCATCGGAGAATGGGCCCTTGAAGGTTTCAGAATCTGAGAGATGGGGGAGAGAAGGAAAAGGTGTGCAATAAAGACAATGAGTCACTGAAAATAAAAATAAGGGGCCTCATACAGTAGTGAGGGCAGCACACAAAGAGCCTTCAGTCCCTCAGGGTTTATTTAAACCCTGCCCAGGTTAAGAGGATCCCAGAGCTGTTGTCATGTGATAGCAAACAGAGGCCATCGCCTCCCAGGCTGGCAGCTGAACTCTGTGTGACAGTGGCACTTTTCAGTAGGGTCTCCTGCCCATTCACACACTTGCCCACATCCTCCAGGCCCTCCCACCTCAGAAGTCCATCAGCAGGACACTCACACTCTGGGCTGTTTTTAAGACCTGATTCTCCAAAGTCAGTCCCCTCACAACTGGAGCCCTCTAAATCAAGTGGCTCAAGTTCTGAATTACCTCGAGGGAAGCGTCAGATGCAGGACCTTCAGCTTTCAAGGTTTCGGGGCTGTGATCCTGGCCTTGAGGCACTTACAAGGACTAGACCCAACGTCACAGCTCAGAGCTGGTCCCTCTATCAAAAGTGAGTCCACCCATATGGACTTCCTCAACTAGGGCCTATTTCAACTCTTTGATCTCTAGAAGGTTTTAAAGGGCATGCATAGAGAAGATGGGGAAAAAGAGCTTCACTAGGTCTGTCATCAAGCACGTTTGCTTAAGGTGACTGTACGGTACAAGCTGACCCTCAAAACTCCTTGGCAGGGCAGGAGAGGTGGCAGCAGGACATAGGGGCTACGATGTCACTGGTGATGCTCACCTCAAGGTCAGGGCGAGGGGGCAGCTGCCTCAGCCAAAAAGGCACGCGGCTGCTACGTAGGAGCCATTCCTCAGCAGGGCAGGGGACGAGAACCCAGAATAACTTGGATGCAATGCTGGCATGCCTCTCCGCGAGAGGCAGCCCCATACTTAGCAACACACCTGCTCTGCTCCTGCTGCCAGCAGCAGGCTGGAAAGGCACCAAATCTCTCTCCACCATGACCACAACCAGCTCCTCGCCCACGCCAGCCCTAGAGGCATGATCAGCGACACCCCTCATCCCCAAGGGCAGCCAAACCTCCCAGCCCCTTGGCAGCCTGCCCTGTCTCCCTGTCATTTCCCTCTAGGCTCTTCAGTCCAGCCAGGCAGTGGGGAAGCACCAGCCTGTCAGGGTCAGGGACTCGCTCTCCTCACCCTTCCCGTCTAACCCAGTTTGGGATGTAGCCAAGGGTGGTGGACACCAGGCGGCACAGGGCAAGCCCACTGGCATGCCCTGCAAGGAGAAGCAACCACTGTCCCACAGCACTCCCTGCAGCTCAGGTGCAAAGAGCAGAGATCCCTACCTGTGACCAGGCCACCCACCCCACGAGCTCCAGTCCTAGGCACCCTGGTTCTTCCCAGGCACCTTCTTCCACAGATGGTGAGAAAAACTGGGCAATAGCTCCTTGACAGCCAGGAACAAGCATGGGTTCAAGTGTTTGCCAAGCTGATGGGGACATCTTTGAACTAAAAAACAGTTATAAGAGCTTGAAAACACACCAAGCCCTGTGGGAGAACCACAGAGATGGATGTAAGCACACCCCCAGCCCACCTTAACCTCTGCTGACATGGACTCTGCAGGATGGGACAAGTCCACACGTCCACCGCCCAGGCACACAGACCTACCTTCATCCTCATATCCCTGGCAAACTTCTCCAGCTCCTTCCTGACTTCTGTGCGCATCATTTTGGATACATTGAGGACCAGCTGGTTCCACTCAATGGGCTGAAAGCTGTGTGGCTCATGGGGGACATACAATCCAATTTTTACTTTTTTGACTGAATGCAAGTACTTTTTATAGGAGTCTTCAAATTCAAAGATGAGGTCACTCAGAGTTCGGTAAGCGAGAGGTTTGTCCATCAGATCTGACCGTCTGCTCATGCCCAGCGAGCCGTACCGGCCGGTGCAGTAAAACCCCAGAACCCCGGGATGGAAAAAGGGTCTCCCCAGCCCCGGGGAGCCGTACCGGCCGTTGCAGTAAATCCCAAGCACCACGTGATGAAAATAGTTCCCTGAGAAGTGGGTTTTAAAGCTGATGGGGAATCTTTCCACGGAGGGCTGCCCATTAGTTAAGTATCTGGTATGCACCACGTCAAGGCAACAACGGCACTGGGAAGGGAGCACACACAATTACACCTGTACAACATCTTTATCAGGTTTTTATTAACTGCCAGGACAAGTGGTTTCTTGCAAACACAAATTTATTCTTCTTGTGCCCTAAACAGTCAGTGCTGCCAAAGCCCATTTTGCCGCTTGGTGAGTAAGACAACGGTTCAGGCAGGGAAGTGCCCGACTCTAAACCACGCTTGCAGGGAAGGATAAAACCACAGCGGTGTTTGGGTCAGCACACCAGAGGAGAGACCACCCTCTTGGGAACTCCCCCATCAAACACCCATCCTCCTAAAAGGAGCTCTTGCTTCCGTTTTATGCTGGAGCTTGATATGACTCAGGTGATTGATCCTCATTTCAAACAGTACAAAAAACCTGAATTTCTTCCTCTCCAGGGTGACAGTCTGCCTTTCCATCTGTGAACTAACTCTCAGCATGCCCACTTCTCATACAAGAATGGTTTTGCATGTTACCCTTGTAATGCATTGCTGAGATGAACAAAGTAGAGCTCCCAGGCGGATAATTAATTAGATAAGCACAGAGGCATGGTCAGGAACAAACAGTTTTAAAAAGCAAAACACATCCCCTGAATCACAGGCTGCCCATTTCAAATGCACCATGTGCAGAGGCCGGGGCCAAGCTCTGTAGCAGCGTAGTGGGTGATCTCAGAGGGGAACCACGCGCGGGTCGCAGGTCGTGTCCTCGGGAGGCTGTGGCCTGTGCCAGGCGGAGGAGAGGCTGAGATTCCCTCACGCAAGCGGGTTTGCGTCAGCACCTACGCGGCATATGGCTCCCTGCTGCTAATCCCTGGACAGCTGAAACCCACCCTGGCTCCATGTGCTGACACCCAGTCCCTGGGACAGCAGGTGCCCTTCCCCTCTTGCAGCCGAGATCCCCACCCACGCCTGGAGAATGGAGGAGGGATGACCAGAAAAGGCTGCAGCAAGACACTCCAGCCTGGGGTTCCTCCAGCCAGAGGCACCTGCTGTAACCCCGGAGCCATCCCCAGAGGCAGACACGGTCAAGGCAGTGCGAATACAAAATGTGCTGGCCCGAGGGACAGCACTGCCAGGATGGCATCAGGGCAGCCAGAAGAATGGAGGATTAGGGTTGGTCCCCACTGGAGCTGTGGGGACTGGCTTAGACCAGGGTCTTGCTCTGGGAATCCCCAGCATCCCCTTCTCCCCCCACCCCATGCCCAAAAAGGAGGTCTTGAACAGCAGCAGAACAAGAGCCACTGCACAGCTGAGATGCCCTGGGATGTTCCTGCAGCCAGCCTTCCTCCCCAGTCTGCACAGCTCAGTTGCCTGACAGCTGCTGGGAAACCGAGAACACAGAAGGGCTTTGTACCAAGACTGTAAAATGCAATTTGGGCTCGGTTCTGGTTCTGCTCAGGCTGACACTCCGCCTCAGCACCGGTGCAACTCCCCAGGATGCTAACTCCCTCACTCATACCTCACATTTCACCTCTCCTCTCTACAGGGATGCAAGAAAAGCTCTAATCTGTCTCTAAAGCATTTGCTCAAGGGGATATTTAACCCACCTGACACTTGTTTGCATTTCACATATTCAAACTTTTGCCCTTCAGATAAACACAGGCACCCACTTGTAAGAGATCTGTGAACTGCCCAGAATCTGAGGTCGAGAGCGAGGAGTTAAACCTCTGTACAAAAAAATGTAAGAAAATAACATCGGCAAAAATCTTTCAGAGCAGCCAGAGGGAAGCTTTTCGGTTCAATGTCAAACACATTTAATTGCCTTCAGTGCTAGATGTCATCTGCTTTAGCAGTCTGGCAAAAATGTATTAGAGGGTATAGGAACAGACAACACTACAGGCTCAGCTCCTGGTGCACTTCAGGATCTACACGGCAGTAAGTCTGGACAAGCATTCAAATCAGAGCACGGACCTCCCTACCGCACACAAGCCCTCACCCAGCCAAGGCAACGTGTGCCCACCTCTGCCCAACCAAACTTGACATCAAACATCAGCACCCTGCAGCAATCGTCACAGCTCACCACGGTATCAACTACACCAACATGCAACAGACACAGCTCTGTTGCCTTCGGCGGTCTCGCTGTTGCATTAGAACCAGCTTCTCCGAGAAAAACTCCATGCCATCGGTAGAATTAAAGATTATAAATAAACTGCAAGGTCAGAATGGGGCCCAGCACCATTATATCAACTGGAAAACTCAGCCCACAGTCACCTCATTTGAAAGGTCACCTTGCTCCAGGCCTTAAAAGGAGCATCCAGTGTGCATCAAAGTCACATTACAACAATTTGTGTCCTACAGTCAGATTCTAGCAGAAGCCCATTGTATTTATCATTCTGTGTAACTGGAAAAGCAGTATCTTTTATTAACACCTACGAAGCTTTCAAACATCGCCACTATTTTTCCCCCTCATTATGAAAGGGTTTTCTCTCTGCTCCCCAAGTGCCTTTCTATTAAGTCCATACAAAGCCTCGGTGGCCACCTGCTACACATACACACTTCTGCCACGAGGCCTCAGAGAAGTTGCAATTTAATCTCATTAAACACTAGGTAGGAGTAAAAGAATTTTTTGAGGATGGAAATTACCCATCATCAAATAACCCAGCAACAACCGCTGCGGAAATTAACCTTTAGGTACAGGTTGCTTCTGCCAAGTGACTACTTAATGAGAGTCTCCACCCGAGATGAAATACACAGAAAAGGGGCTGGAAAGGCACATCTGATCTTCCCCTCCGTCCATGCATCATTATTATTTCTTCTCCTTTCTGCTCTGCACAAGGAGAGCTGTATTGTGGCAAACAAAAGGCAATGACACAGCAACGCCGCAGCTGCAATCGCACCTTTGAGCTGGGACTGTGACTGCAGGATGGAGAATCAGGGAGTAAATTACGTGCCACAATACAGAGGCAGTGCAGAGCAGGAGAGGGCAAAAGCGGCTGTAACGAATGCTCTGTAGCCTCCTGATCCCGCGTCTTCATGTAAATCAAAGCAGCAGAAAAACAGCCCTGAGGGATGCTGATCTCCTTGGAGGTCACACAAGAGGGACACTAATCTTCTGGCTGGCCACCTCTTGCCCCAGTATCCCTCCAATACTGCTAGCAGCCTGTAGAAAGGGCCACATTGCCCATGCCAGCATGCAGCTCCTACAGATCTGCAAGTCAAACAAGCACACCATCCTCTGAGCCACAGGTTGTTGTGCTCCCCATACCCCCATCACCTTCACCACCCAGGCTTACGCACAACTAGGAATTCAGATTCCAGACTCAAACTACAAGCAAGACTTGGGGCACAAAACCTGCACTCTGGCCACCCCAAGCCTTCCTGGGCAGTGGGACAAACGAGGAGTAGCATCCTTAGTCCGTTCCAAAGAAAAGGGGAGGATTAGTTACGGTGTTAGCTGAGTCAACCACTTAGTTTTAAAACTCTCAAGCAGAAAGTGTCTCAATAGCTTTTCTTTAAATCTGCACACTTGCACAGTGACTCAACCAATGTCCTTCTGTGGTTTATTTGGGTTTTTTTTTCTACCTCCCGGTGAACTTCAATATCAAAAAAGTCCCAAGGAGAAGTCCCAGGATCTGCCCCCTGCCAGTACAGACCTTTTCCTACACAAGTGCCCCCATTGCAGAACACAGAGCAGCCCCCAGCCAGAAAAGAGACTTGAAGCCCTTCACTTTGTATATTTGCCAGCAGCAACTTTTAGAAAAAAATGTTATCTTGCCTTTTTAAAATTATTATTAATAAATAATTGGAGCAGGATCTTCCCATGTGCCAGCACTGTGGCTGCAGTCTTCGAGTATTTCTGGAAATGGGTCTTAGCAGCTGATAGCACACACTGGACAGCAGTTGGCCCCCCATGGCAGTTGGCCCCCCATGGCTACGTGAGCTCTGGTTACTTGCCACGAGCAGTTTCCCCACCACTGCCAAGAACTGCAGCCAGCTGAACGGGAGGCAAGAGGCCATGCTGCGAGGACTTCAGCCTACCTGCATCTAAACCAGCTTCAACAGGAGTTTAGCTGGGGGGGGGGAACCAAACTTGGTGCCTTTGCCATGCTGACAGGCAGTGACTGTGCAAGGGGTGCTCTAGCAGCAGATGAGGAGACGAGGGATCTTGGGGTGCTGGTCGAAAGCTGACTGAACATGAGCCACAGTGTACCCAGGTGTCCAAGGCAGCCAACAGCATCTTGGCCTGCATCAGGAATAGTGTGGCCAGCAGGACCAGGGAAGCAATCCTTCCCCTGTACTCAGACTGTACCTCAAATATTGTGTTCAGTTTTGGGCCGCTCACTCAAAAAGGATGTTGAGGCACTGGAGTGTGTCCAGAGAAGGGCAATGAAACTGGTGAAGGGCCTGGAGCCCAAGTCTTGTGAGGAGCAGCTGAGGGAGCTGGGGTTGTTTATCCTGGAGAAGAGGAGGCTGAGGAGAGACCTTACCGCGCTCTACAACTACCTGAAAAGAGGTTGTAGCAAGGTGAGGATCGGTCTCTTCTCCCAAGTAACAAGTGATAGGATGAGAGGAAACGGCCTCAAGTTGTGCCAGCCAAGGTTTAGATTGGATATTAGGAAAAATTTCTACACTGAAAGTGTTATCAAGCATTGGAACAGGCTGCCCAGGAAAGTGGTAGAGTCACCACGCCTGGAGGTATCTAAAAGCCGGGTAGAGGAGGTGCTTCGAGGTGCGGTTTAGTAGTGGACAGGTTACGGTTAGATTCAATGATCTTAAAGGTCTTTTCCAACGAAACGATTCTATGATCATGCCTGACACCTTCTGGTGTCTCCACTCAAGTCCTACTCTGGCTTGCAAACCACACACAGAAAAGGTAAAGCCAGATGAACCCAATATGGGCTAATGAGTACTCATTGCACTGCTCATGCTAATCAATTTATTTATTAGTTTGAAATTCCCTCTTATTTAACTCAGAGAAGATGACCTTGCAGTGCTTCATGTCACGAGTTCAGCAAGGGAAGTTTTTGCTGAAGTCTGGTTGAGATGAGCACAGAAAAGTCACAA